TGTGTTACATAGAAAGAATGCTACTGTAATGTTCTGTGCTGTTAACCAGGTATCTAGTTCCTATATTCTTTTTTTTTTTTTTTTTTTAATCTTTCTGAAAACTCTCCTGGTAGACAGTAGGATAACCTGATACAAGTTATCTATATTTTAACAGAGAACAACACAGTAAGTAATACACATGGGGAGTTAGTGGATAACGCTTTAAAAGGACTTCTCATCTGGGGAATCTGACAGTCTAGTTACATTGACTGAATTTTTCAGTACGCTGTTGGTGAAATTGTAAGCGTATTCTCATTTTTCTGTTATGTCTCAGGTGTTTGCGGACTGGCGCTTTGGAGAGTGCCTGCTTATCTGGCATGTCCATAACAGAACTGTGTGTTCCCTCTCTGATGTGCTGGGTAGCAGTTTCCCCCCTTTGGACAGTTCAGAACAGTGAGCTTTATCCTAGATTAATATCCATAGCTACATAGTGGTTCTAAATCCAGAATAAACCGAGAGTAGGGGAGAGAAGAAAAGGCTCTCTCATGAAGAAAGTGAAACTTTCTCAGTGTGTCTTGCCGGTTTTTAGGAATTGTCTGTTCTTCCTGCCTTTTTTCATATAAACTAGATTAAGGAAAAAGGTCATTGTTGTTTTTAAGTTTTATTTTTATTTAAGTAATCTCTACACCCAACATGGGACTCAACTCAGCGACCACGAGATCAAGAGTTGCAAGAGTGAGCCAGTCAGGCACCCCAAGGAAAAAGTTGTTTGTTGGTTTGTTTGTTTTTAATGTTTGTTTGTTTTGAGAAAGCACGTGTGCACGTGCCCGAGCAGGAGGAGCAGGGAGAGAGAGAATCCCCAACAGGCACTGTGCTGCGAGCACAGAGCCCAACTCGGGGCTTGAACTCAGGAACTGTGAGATCATCCCCTCAGCTGAAATCAAGAGTCGGATACTTACCCAATTGAGCTACCCACCCAGGTTCCCCGGAAAAAAGGGTTTTTTTAATTTTTTTTTTATTTTTATTTTATTTTATTTTTTTAACGTTTATTCATTTTTGAGACAGAGAGAGAGACAGACCATGAATGGGGGAAGGTCAGAGAGAGAGGGAGACACAGAATCCGAAACAGGCTCCAGGCTCTGAGCTGTCAGCACAGAGCCCGACGTGGGGCTCGAACTCACGGACCGCGAGATCATGACCTGAGCCGAAGTTGGACGCCCAACCGACTGAGCCACCCAGGCGCCCCAAAAAGGGTTTTTTTTTAATTTGTTTTGTTTGCTTATAAAAATCTGTACCCCAAATGACATAACTGGAATTAAGGGAAAAAACTTGGAAAGTTCCATTTTTTTCCTTATTCTTCCAGATTTATCTGCCTTTGAACGTTGAAAACAGTTTTATTGTTGTTTATCTTTGTGTTTTAATAATTCATGCTACTCCTCTTCTTAGCAACTCCATACTACTTAGAACCATTGTCTGAAATCACCTGTATCCCTTGCAGTGTTAGAACCAAAAATGAAGAGTAAATTTCTTGATCAAGTGAGACTTACAAAGTTAGCAGATCAGCTTACAGGTTTTCTATTTATTGAATTTTAGCAAGCCATTGTTTGCTACCCTTTGGATTAGAAGCAAAAGAAAATGCTTTTTGATTGACAATATTTTCATTTAAAAGTTCAGCTGATCCCCAGTTGATGAGCATTGAAAAGAAAGGCATTGTCTTTAGATGTGTGGTGGCCATGCTTGCTCAAAGCTTTTAGTTTTTTTGTGATATTTGTGCTCACACACACTCTCATAAATGATTTGAAAGTAAGTGGCAGACTTCATGACACCTCACCCCTAAATACCTCAGCATGTGTCTCCTGAGAATGAGAATATTATTCTACCTAAAACATTACTACTGTATCACACCCCAGAAAGTTGACATTATAAAGTAATAATAATCTAATGTACAGTCTTACTTTTCCAAGTTTTTCTAATTCTCCCAGAAATGTACTTTTACGATACTTTTGTCCCCCTAATCCAGGATCTGGCCAAAGATCACACATCACATTTGGTTGTGGTGTCTCTTTAGTCTCCTTTATTTATTTGTTTGTTTGTTTATTTACATCCAAATTAGTTAGCATATAGTGCAACAGTGATTTCAGAAGTAGATTCCTTAATGCCCCTTACCCATTTAGCCCATCCCCCCTCCTACAACCCCTCCACTAACCCTCTGTTTGTTCACCATATTTAAGAGTCTCTTTTGTTTTGTCCCCCTCCCTGTTTTTATATTTTTGTTGCCTTTCCCTTATATTCATCTGTTTTGTCTCAAAGTCCTTATATGAGTGAAGTCATATGATACTCGTCTTTCTCTGACTGATTTCACTTAGCATAATACCCTCCAGTTCCATCCACATAGTTGCAAATGGCAAGATTTCAGTTTTGATTGCCGAGTAATACTCCATTGTATAGATATACCACATCTTCTTTATCCATTCATCTATTGATGGACATTTGGGCTCTTTCCATACTTTGGCTGTTGTTGATAGTGCTACTATAAACACTGGGGTACATATGTCCCTTTGAAACAGGTCTTTAGTCTCCTTTAAACCAGAGCAGGACCTCTGTCTTTTTTGGGTGGGGGATCTTTCATAACATTAACATTTTAAGTAGTCTGGGCCAGTTGTCTCCTACAATATTCCACAACAAATTTTGTCTTGTCTTCTTGATTAGTTTCAGGTTAAATACTTTTGGTAGGATTACTATATGTATACTTGCCATTCTACCACATCAGGAGGCACAGTGATATCAGTTTGTGTTACTTTTGGTAGTACACAGTTCGATCTTGATGCAGACCACTTGTGCTAAGGAATAGCTGTCAGATCACTTCATTGGAAAGCCCTTTTCCTCTAGTAAGTAATCTAGATTCATGCTTTGAGACTTTGTGACTGTCCTACTCCTTTAGAACCTTCCACCTGGTTATTGTAATTTGTTCATTGATTTAATTCAGAGTTTTGCCAGGGGTCTATTGATGGACGTCTACTGATGAAGCCCAGGAAATTTTTTTGGGTACATATATTTTTCCAGGAATATGATTCATGACTTGCAAAATATTTTTAAAAATCTTTTGTCTCCCTCTCTTTTGGAGGTGGCTTCTACAAGTTCCTATGCATTAGAGAAGTCTGTTATAAGCAGTAGGTTACTAGAAGCTGGGAACCAACAATGTTCATGTGATTTTCGTAATTATCTAACGTAGCATCACATACAGCTGGGCACTAAATTTGTGTTGTTTGTTTGAGAATGCTTTGTTCTGGCCTCTCCCTTATCCTGAGCCAAGCATTTGGATCTTTTGTGTTTGGCATAAAGTGTACTAGAAATAGAGCAAAGGAGCTTAGCCCCTGGTTTTTGGTGTTCCCTTTGAAGATTTTTGGGCACAGCCGAATTTGATTTGTGTCTTTGTTGACACTGAAGTATATTTGGGTTAATTGGAAATGAGTTAAAACACTGCAATATATTATTATTATGTATTGACTTTAGGGAGCTTTAGATCCATTATTAGCCTAATGCAGAATAGCTGTAGAAGTGGTTAATTCTTGACTTTCCCTGCTCAACCAGGAAAGCAGTATGGAATTAATCATGGTAGGAGCCACTCAGGTGTGTTTTGTTTCATCTATCGATTAGCCTGTTGGTAACACTGGCTTGCCTTGTATGAAAAAGTGTCTGTCATTTGGGTGACTGATAATAACAGTAAGTGCTAATGTTGGAAGGTATACTTATAAAAATACATATCATACCATTTAATCCAGGTGATCACTCTGTGAAAGTTGTTATTATTTTTATTCTAATTACACAGGTGAGGGGAAAGACGGAGAGAAGTGAAAGATAGCCGACATCAAACAGCTCGTGAGGAGCCCCAGATTCCTTGCTTTTTTTTGTTTTAGCACTCTGAAAGGTAGAGGCATTCTGTGGGTTCCAAATATGAACAAAGCATGGCCCTTGTTCTCAAGGACGTTTTAAATCAAACCAGTATGTCTTCTTATAAATATATTAATTATAGGCAGCACATCAAGGGAAGAGCTAGGGAAGCACACAGAAGTGCAGACAGCCTCCAAGTGTAGAGTCAAGGTTGGTATGCCGGGGGAAGCATTTGAGAGGGAACATGTCTAGGGAGGAAGAAAAAGTGAGCAAAAGGACCAAGGTGGGAAAGCACAGGGCTTATTATGGCTGAGGGGCTGCTCTGGTTTGGCATGAGCTGCGTGAGATACAGTAAAAGAAAGTGGTGGAAGCTGGGCCTGTGGCAGGTGAGGTCAGACTGTGAAGGGCCTCAGAATGCCATGCTAGGGAAGAGAGAGCCTCCTTCCATAGGTATTTTGAGCAGGAAATGAAAAGTGTAGGGTAGCCCTGTAGAGAACCCAGTAATAAGCATGATAAATGCTTACATTTTTAAGTTAAGATCCTGTGCTAATCTCTTCACATGATACACACAGAATCTCACTAACGCCTGCAGTAACTGAACAAAGTACTCTGTCCCTTTTACAGATGTGAAATCGAGGCTCCGCGAGATTAGGTTTGCTGGTGTCAAACATATCGCTGGAGCTAAGACTTGGACTGGGGTCTGTGAGCTTCTAAAACCTGTTCTGTTTGCCACTGTGATATATTGTTTTTTAAAAACAGGTCACCTGATACGTTCTTGATCCTCTGTTAAGAATATGGCTGTGGGAAAAAGACATTTTCAAAGTTCCGGAAGTACTGCTTTTCAGTGTGTAATCATGCTAAGGAATGTAATCACCACCAAACCCGACTTGTACTGCTCTCTAATTGGGGCCAGCGCTGCATAGGAAGCTGAAGAACTGGATGATGTTTTATTTACATGCCTCATGACATGAATACATGCCTGTGGCAAATGTTTTTGTGTTCATTTTCACCGTTTAACCTTATTGGCCCCACGTAAATCTGACATCAGGGAGAGCCCAGTTCGTAGGGGCATTTTCAGGTGCTTAAAGCAGTGATATTTTTCCTAGCTAAAATACATTTCTTCTCAGCAGGTTTTCTACTAACAAAAGACCATGACTACTGATGAAGGTGCCAAGAACAATGGAGAAAACCCAGCAGCAGCTGTGGCTGAACGCGGAGAGGATATTACCTCTAAAAAAGATAGAGGAGTATTAAAGGTGAGGTTACAAGGTTGAATGACATGTAGGGAAATTTCCTACCTGGAAGGATTATTTATAAAGATGTTTGTGTTTTTGGTCGGAGGTGGAGGTGGATGTTGTTCACTGAGGCTTACTAAGTGCTAAATTCTCATTTCGTCTTCATGACTTGAGGTTTATTTTTTTAATTAAAAAATTTTTAAAGGTTGTTTATTTTTGAGAGAGAGAGAGAGAGAGAGCACAAGCTGTGGAGAGGCAGAGAGAGAAAGGGACAGAAGATCTGAAGCAGGATCCACCCTGTCAGCGCAGAGCCCGATGGTGGGGCTGGAACCCACAAACTGCAAAATCATGACCGGAGCCGAGTGAGCACCCAGGCACCCCGAGGTTTATTTTTATTCCCAGAGAGATGGTGAAATTGAGGCCCCGGTGGGTGAATTAACCTGCCCAGTATCCTAGATCATAGGAAATACAGATCTGGGGGCCAGATCCAAATGACGTAGGACTTAGATAGAGTCCCCCAGTTCTCAGCGTGTATGCATGGGTGGTTATTTTAACGTAATATTTAAGGACATGAAAGCTAGCTAATGACAATCCAGAAGACTTACTAAAGGAAAAAGAAAAGCCAACTTGCAGGGTTCAAAAGGATTGTTTTTACATACAGATTCTTGTTTGTGCAGTGAAGATATTTTGTGAGGTTTCATCCTAGAATATATCTTACTTCAGAATTAGCTTTCCTCATTAAAACACTACAGGGGACCTGGGTGGCTCAGTCGGTTGAGTGTCCAACTCTTGGTTTCAGCTCAGGTCGTAATCCCAGGGTCATGGGATTGAGGCCTGTTTTGGGCTCATGCTAAGTGTGGAGCCTGCTTTATCCTCTTTCTCTCCCTCTGCCCTGCTCGCACTCTCTCCCTCTCTAAAATTAAAAATTAAAAGTAAAAACTGTGTATGGTTTTCACTGTGTAATTAGTCATTTCTATGTATAGTGTTTTTTTTTTAAATGTTTGTTTATTTTTGACAGAGACAGAGACAGAGCACAAGCAGGGGGGAGGGGCAGAGAGCGAGGGAGACACAGAATCCGAAGCAGGCTCCAGGCTCTGAGCTGTCAGCACAGAGCCCGACGCAGGGCTCGAACCCACAAACCGTGAGATCGTGGCCTGAGCTGAAGTCGGACACTCAACCGACTGAGCCACCCAGGTGCCCTGTGTCTTTTTGTCTTTTTTTTATTTGTATCTCACAGTGGTCTTGTGAGACGACCAGAGCACCTGTTAATCCTTCCATTTTATTGATGGAAAATGTATATTTGAATTCCATATAAATTAATAAACTGCAGCTGAGAGAAGGTTAAATGCTTTAGTTGTATTAAGTCATGCCTTCTCCTACATTGTTGTTACATGGACAAGTTTTGTATAGTTAATTATTTTTCCCTGAAAATATGATCTCCCACATTCTAAGTATTATCACTAAGTGAGTTTTAGTATCTCCATGTGTCAGCAGTAGTAAATGAGAATTTTTTAGTTTGTTTTGTCTGATCTTGCTTGTGTGAAAGCTTTTTTTTCTGTGCCTGAATCTTCCGAATGTAGTTGTTTTACCGTTAGCTTGCTACATGCTAAGCCAAATTTTGGAAGACTTTCAACTACAGAAATAAGGGCTTTATGCCATAGATTTGTATCATGCTCTCATTTTTCAGAGGGCTTCTCAGTCTATAACTATATGAATTCCTTACCCCAAACTCCAGGATACTTCTAGAGACAGTAGAAATTGTGCAGGCAGTCTGCAGCATCTCCTCGCTCTATTTAAGTCTTTCTCTTTCATGTTTTCAGTGTGCCCACCCATGCAGAGAACATGTTCCTCAACCTGCCTCCAGCCCTGTTTTGTTCCAGGGAGTAAATCTGATAAGATTTTTAGGCTTGTAAGACGCATTTTGAGATTGTAAGCCCTTTAAATCATATCACTTATCACTGTCTAGAGCCTTAGGTTTCACCATGGGGCTTTTGGTTAAGATTAAATAGTCTACTAACTGTGCGACATGGGGCGATGTAGTTAACCTCTCTTTGATGAAATTTCCTCATTGTAAAATTGGAACAATACTACTACCTACCTCATAGAGTTACTGGGATTATATAAAGCATTTAGCACCGTGCCTCATCTGTAGTAACCTCGTTTATTCCCTATTACATACATAACTTTTTAAAAGACCAAGGCACGTCTGGGAAGTCAGTGACTAGCTCAGGCAAATAAAATTACACTGTGGAGCTTACATTTTTAAAATGAATCGAGACTAAAATTCATTCCTTAATGCAACTGCTTAAGGCACCTCCTCACATCTTCCCATTTCCTCCTACCCAGAGCCCCTAGCAACTAACATTCGATTCTCTGTTATGAGTTCAGCTTTTTTAGATGTCACATATAAGTGAGATCACACAGTGTCTGTCTTTCTCTGTCACTTAGCATAATGCTCCTAAGATCCATCCATGTTGTCACAAATGGCAAGATTGTGTTCTTTATCGTGGCTGAATTAACATTCCACTGTGTGTATATGTGCCACACATCTCTTGATCCATTCATTTGTGTATGGATCCTTAGATTGTTTCCAGGGTTTAGCTGTTGTAAATATTGCTGCCCTGAACATGGGGTGCATAGATCTTTTTGAGCTAGCGTTCTCGTTTTCTTCAGATAAATACCCAGAAGTAGAATTGCTGGATCGTATCGTAATTCTATTTTTAATTTATTGAGGAAACTTCACACTATTTTCTACAGTGGCAGCACCCATTTACATTCCTGCCGCCAGTGCACGAAGGTTCCCTTTTCTCCATATCCTCACCAGCACTTGTTTTTTCTTGTCTTTCTCATCATAGCCATTCTAAAAGGTGAGGTAAAGTCTCGTGGGTTTGATTTGCATCTTGGGGATTGTTTTGTTTTTCCATTACTTCCTTCTTAACAAGTGTATAGAAACACAGCTGATTTCTGTGTGTTGATTTTGAGTCCTCCCACGTCACTGAATTCATTGATTAGTTCTAACAGGTTTTTAGTGGAGTTGCAGTAATGATTCTCATCTTTATTTTTTTATTTTTTGAGAGAGAGTGGATGAGGGAGGGCTGAGGGAGGAGAGGGAGAGAGAGAATCTCAAGCAGGTTCCATGTTCAGTGCGGAACCCAACATTGGGCTCAATCTCATGACCCTGAGATCGTGGCCTGAGCCAAACAAAGTCAAGAGTCCTACGCTTAGCCGACTGAGCCACCCAGGCTCCTCCGATTCTTTTCCTTTAAACAATGTCTGGACCTTTGAACTAAGAAAGTTGTAGAATAGAAGTTTACCGTGTTTACATGGTGATAAGAGGGCGGGGCTGGTAGGACACAACTTAAAGAACTTAGGAGCAAATGATTGAATTCTTTATATAAAGTTTCAGACTCTTCCCCTAATACGATGTTTCTTGGGCATGAGCTACCATCCTCTGTTACCTAATAAAGAGGATTAATTTGGCATAGGTGATTGACAGAATAAATTATACCACCACACGCCTGGATTTGATTTTCTTTTCCCAGAACTGACCAACTGCAGTAGTGGCCTACTCTGCCAAGAACAAAATAAGTATACTGGATTTTATGACAGCTAAATATTTTTCAGCCTGGAGCTTTTTTTTTTTTGGCATTTGCTTTACTAGAAAACAAGTTTTTCAGTATCATATCAAACTATGCAGTGATGCTTGGTTTTTTGCACATTGAATATTCTTCATATAAAAGGAAGTGGGACCTGTTATACTAGGAAGTTGAGCTTTTTGAAAGTAAACTAAACTAGTGGAATTTAGTCAAAAGGTAATGTTTTTAACAAAAGAGGGAAGTAAATAAAATCTCACCTTTTGAAACTTGCTTTAGACTTCTTTTTGAAGATTTTTGAAAGTCCACTCATCTTTTTGTTCTGATTCAGTTTATATGTGAACTGGTTCTATGTTTTGAGAGATTTTGTTCTGATTCAGTTTATATGTGAACTGGTTCTATGTTTTGAGAGATTTTAGTGTCAAAGCATGAAGCAGGATCTATTGGTTATATTATTACCTTATTTTGAGGGGATAGTGTGCTTGACAGTGAAATTAAATATAGCGTTAAAGATTTAGAGTAGTATAGGAAGGTTTCCTAACAGTTAGGATTCCTGAGAGAACTGGGAGGGAAGCCTTGAGAAAGGACAGGTAATTATTTGCAAATCTGCCTGGGTAATGTATAATGGATTCTGTGACCTTTTTTATTTGATTAGAATAAAATCAGCTCCTTTTTTTGATGTTTGTCTTTTCCAGATTGTCAAAAGAGTGGGAAATAGTGAGGAAATGCCAATGATTGGAGACAAAGTTTATGTCCATTACAAAGGAAAATTGTCAAATGGGAAGAAATTTGATTCCAGTCATGATAGAAATGAACCGTTTGTCTTTAGTCTTGGCAAAGGTAAGAGGGTGTTTTTTGAGTTGTGTTTTGCTTAGACTTATTGCTATTTATATTATATAGAAGCTGGTCGATCCTGTATAGGAGCTAGTAGATTTTTAGGGGGTCTATAATGTTAAAGTTATTTTCATAATGTTATTAAGATGTCCAGCTTTTTACCGTGTTGACATTCGCACTGATGGTACAAAAGCTACAGTGGTAAAAACTGCTGCTGCCGTTAGCACAGATCTGGGCTACGGCACCAAACTATATGAGTAATCCGATATTCTTCGATGCCCTCATTCACTGTTTAAATAAGAAAAAGAAGGGAAGCCCATGTCACTTAATGTCCTTGATAACAGTGTAAAAAATACCAATTGTATTAAATCCTAATCCTTGGCTTTGGCATTGTTCTGCTGTTTTGTGACAGACAGGGAGGCGCACAGGGCACACTTCTGTACCCGAGGACAGTGGTTGTCTCCTGGGAAAGCACTTGTGCACTTAACCTGAGTGAAGAACTGAATGAGGTGCATTTTTCCAGAAAACACCATTTTTATTAGAAAGGGCAAACTGGGGGCGCCTGGGTGGCTCGGTCGGTTAAGCGTCTGACTTCGGCTCCAGTCATGATCTCACAGTCCGTGAGTTCGAGCTCCGCGTCGGGCTCTGTGCTGACAGCTCAGAGCCTGGAGCCTGCTTCAGATTCTGTGTCTCCCTCTCTCTGTGACCCTCCCCCGTTCATGCTCTGTCTCTCTCTGTCTCAAAAATAAATAAACGTTAAAAAAAAAAAAGAAAGAAAGAAAAAGAAAAAAAAAGGGCAAACCGTTATTGTTCGGATTTGATTATTCAGTATTTGGCAGATAACTTTCTTAAAAATGAATGAAGCGAGCCTGTCACTTCAAGGAAAACAGCTGAGAGTATTTGTAACCATTGAGTTTTCAAATGAAAATTCTAGTTCTGGGAAATTTGTATCTGCCACGGTGAGCTTGACAGCTTCCCAGAACTTAAAAGACTTCTGATGAGATCGATGGATGTTCAGGAATGTGGTTTTTAAAATATCATCCAGTGAAATGTGTTAACGTGTGGAAGATCTGTGTAACTCAGTGAACCAATATTTACCCAATACAAGATGTTACATCATGTGTGACTAAAAAGATCCATTCGTTTTGCAGGCTAGATCAATGGATTTTAATGTAACATAATATTAACGAAAAGTTCATTGATCTGCTTTCAGATTCTACATTGCAACTAACTTTTATGAAACTGCCACTTGTCCAGCTTGCATGTCCTCTCAGGTGATCATATTCATAATTATCTGAAAAGGCCGTTAAAGTACTCCTACCGTTTCCACCTATCTATCTTTTGGGTTTGGATTTTTTCTGTAGATTTAAACTCAGATTGCAACAGATGAATGCAGAAGTAGGTATGAGAATTTGGTTGTCTTCTGTCAAGTCAGACACGTTTTACACTTGTTAAACTGCAAAACAATGCTGTTCTCACTAATTTTTTACAAATATAGTTGCTTTTCATAAAATTTTTTTTTGTTTTGGGGCGCCTGGGTGGCGCAGTCGGTTTGGCGTCCGACTTCAGCGGATCACGATCTCGCGGTCCGTGAGTTCGAGCCCCGCGTCGGGCTCTGAGCTGATGGCTCGGAGCCTGGAGCCTGTTTCCGATTCTGTGTCTCCCTCTCTCTCTGCCCCTCCCCCGTTCATGCTCTGTCTCTCTCTGTCCCAAAAATAAATAAAAAACGTTGAAAAAAAAATTTTTTTTTAAAAATAAAAAATTTTTTTTGTGTTAACATATATGAGGCTGTTACTATTTTTCAATAGTAAATGTACTATTTTTGAATTGGTAAGTAACTAATTTTTAATGTGGTAGATATCAGTAGATAGATAAACAAGTTCTTTGGGGTCTTCAATTTTTTTTTTTTTAATTTTTTTTTCAACGTTTTTATTTATTTTTGGGACAGAGAGAGACAGAGCATGAACGGGGGAGGGGCAGAGAGAGAGGGAGACACAGAATTGGAAACAGGCTCCAGGCTCTGAGCCATCAGCCCAGAGCCCGACGCGGGGCTCGAACTCACGGACCGCGAGATCGTGACCTGGCTGAAGTCGGACGCTTAACCGACTGCGCCACCCAGGCGCCCCTGGGGTCTTCAGTTTTTAAGATTAAAGGGGTGCTGAGGAAAAAGGTTGAGAAGCACTATTTTCAGGTCTTAAGTGTTATTTTTACTAATTCATTTTCAAATGCTTTTGCGTGTCTTTAATTTAGTACTTTCTTTAATCTTGTGAGAATAATAGCCCATACATCAAACTAGACTTTGCAGACCATGTGGCTTATTGAAAGTTAGTGGCTGAGTTACCAATGTTTTTAATTCTTATCTGCTACAGATAGAACAGATCTCTAGTTCGTTCCCAGATTAAGTGTGGGAGAAAAGGATTGGACCCCCCCCCACCCCCCCTGCACTGGTCTACCACCATGGCTCAGTGTTGACTATAACCCCTTTCATTTTTTACTGTACCACCTGAAATGAATTGTTAACCAGGCATGGTCTGGGAAAGAAAAGAGCCAGTGAGGAACTGCAGACTTAAACTCTTTCTGCCTCTCTTGTACCCTGCCTTTCCTGGTACTCACAGGCCTGTGTCCTGGTGACTCCTGCTTCTTGTCCGGCTGTACCCTTCTCGGGCTCTGGTGCAGCCTGTGCACCACTGCTCCCTTCTCCTTTGGGTCTTCAGTGAGTTGGTGGCTCATGTTAGATTAATCTTGTGTTTCAGTATGATGGCAATCAAATATAGGTTCTTTTTGTCGAGAAAGCGGATAATGATTGACAGTTAAATTAGAATTTTTTTTCTTTTTTGTTGATTCAGAGATGTGAACCTCCAGGGCCACCAGCATGGCTGTGGCATCAGCATTTAATTTAGATGACCTCAGAGTAAATGGCCTCATCAGACATCTATGTTTCCACTGCTCCCCCTGCCCCCTTCAAACTCTTACTCTACCCTTTGAATTTCTGTCCTAAAGAAGTTGATGGATTTAAGCCAACAAGTCTCTTCAGCAGCTATCTTTGCAAGTAGACTTGCTAAGAATTGCTAAGAACTTAGGCTGCTATCTTTTCTACCTGCATTTTCTTAATAAACTACCCTATGCTGAATGAGTCTTTTATGTTTCCTAGAATTTTGAGCAGAGATAAAAGAGGCAGCTTTCAGTTGACTTGGTACCTATGACACACCTGTCTAGAGACAGTGTGGTCTCTTGGGGAGAGCATCCACCTGGCTGTTAGGAAGCCAGGGGTCCTATCTTCACTCTTCCCTGTGTTATGTTAACATGAGTAAACCACCTAACCTTCCCTGCTCCTCTAAAAAGGAGGCATCTGTAGAAAAGCATTAAGATTAATTCTGGCTATGATTTCATTCTTGTACCTTCTGTAAAGAGTACAGGAATGAAAACCATAAAAGACTAAGATAAAGCAAGAAACATTGGTAGGCAGTTTATAATTTTTTGTGGGGTTTTTTTAAAATGTTTATTTTTGAAAGAGAGCGCGCACAGGGGAGGGGCAGAGAGAGAGGGAGACACAGAATCTGAAGCAGGCTTCAGGCTCAGGGCTGTCAGCACAGAGCCTGATGAAGGGCTTGAACCCACAAACTGTGAGATCATGATCTGAGCCAAAATCGGATGCTTAACCAACTGAGCCACCAAGATGCCCCTGCCTTGCCTTTTCATTTTAATTGGTCTTTAAAGGAACAATTTTAATTTTGATGAAGTCAAATTTTTTTTATGGCTTTCCTATTATGATTGACCATTTTTGTTTTCATTTGGTTTGGGTTTTTTGTTTACATATGAGGACACTACAGAGAGAAGAAGTAAGCCATTAGCCCATGGTTATACAATAAAGTGGTAGGGCCAGGATTCAAACACAAGCAATTTCTTTCAAGGTGTATGTGTCTTAAGGTTTAAAACTAGCTTAAACTGGGTACAAAAACGAAATAGGTCCTCGTCCAGCAGAATTTACTGAGTGCCTGCTGTACATCAGACAGACACTTTTCTTACAGGAATGCTGTAGTTACAGAGGTTTATCAAAAGCAAAGTTTCTGCGGGCACCTGGGTGGCTTAATCAGTTAAGTGTCTGACTCTTAGTTTCTGCTCAGGTCATGATGTCGTGGTTGATGGGTTTGAGCTCCGTGTCGGGCTCTGCGCTCACAGCGTGGAGACTGCTTGGGATCCTGTGTATCCCTCTCCCTTTGCCCCTCCCAGCTCGTGCTCTTTCTCTCCCTCCCTCCCTTCCTTTCTCTCTCTCTCTCTCTCTCTCTCTCTCTCTCTCTCTCTCTCTCTCTCAAAATAAATAAATAAAATTTTTTTAAAAGCAAAATTTTTGCTATTACCTGCTTGATGTTATGGGTTGAATTCCTATTTTGAAAGTTTGTTGTTTTTTTTTAAATTGAAGTATGTTTTTTTCATGCACTTTAAGTCTTGACAACATCTTACAACTGGTAAAGCACTACTAGTAATGGGTAACCATGTAGCCAACTTCCTGTGGGTTGTTTGTGGTTTAACCATGTGCTCCCTTTAAATTTCTTTTGATGCTTTTGCTCCCACTTAAATATATCCTTAACATCTGGGTTTTTGTTTGTTTGTTTTACATGCAGTTTAGGAGTATTCAGGATTGCTTTTAGGCCAAAATATTTAATTTTTCTGACCTTCTCCAAAAGTGTGAGCCAGAAAGACAGCAAACTTTGAGAAAGTACGTTCTTTGCCTTTACCTGGTGCTTTGCAGTAGAGGAAGAATGCTTTTGATTTCCATTGCTCTGTTAATGGATACTGGGGAGAAGCCTGTTGGGGCAGGGTGAGACTAAACCGTGGGAAGCTAACAAATTTCTAACTCCATTTGTATAAAATTATAGCATGGACCCTGTTGTTTAATTGAGTATAATGTTATGGTATTATAGTTTATAATTCTTTAGGAAATAGAAAATAATCAAGACCTGACTCCTGCCTTCAAGTATCTAACAGTTTAGCCTGGCAGAGTTGAT